AATAAATTACGTTTATTCTCTTCTATGTTTTGCTGTTATTTGCTGACGTCTCTTTTGTGTTTTTTTGTTAATGTGAGTGCTAAAAGTCTTTAAGGAAATTAATTACTTATCTATCGTATGAAATATTCTCAGTGCTATTATTGACTATACAACCAACTGCATAAATAAGACGAAGAAATGCGTATATACATATAATTAATATATATTTATAAGACTGTAATAGTTTATAAGAATCGAAGAAATGTCTTTATATATATATATAAAGATAATAATATATATTAATTCTACTAGCTGCATATTAATGGATGCCAGTTTTCCAGTTTTCGTACTTTATTGTGCCTACAACTGACATTATACGAAACTGCCGTCTTAACTCTACACCTTAACAGGAACTACCAAAAGCCTTGCTCGTTTCAGCAGTACTCCTTAAAAGCTTGTGTTACATCAGAGTAAACATTAAAATAGATGTGAGAACATTGTCTGTGTTTCCATTTAGTGTAGATTTATACTGTGGTTAATTTCTGTTGCAGGTCAAAAATATAAATATATATTAATGCAGTTGAAGAAACAGAGTATAGAATAGATATACCCATGATATACATTGATGACCTCAAAAATGATACCGGAAATCCAATAGCAAGTAGCCGAGGGCCGGAAAATGTATCAGCAATAATCAACTGATGTTAGATAGATTTACAGATGAAGTATTATTCCATTACCCTTATATATTCACTAATATACAACTTTTAACAATTTTAAGATAGATATGATTCGCCAGTAGCATATGACATTTCGGTTTCATAATAATGTTATGTTACTTTTATCTTGGTGATTTTGATTTTTTGACGAATGGCTTTCTTGATAATTTGATGATCATATGCATAATAGGTACCTGTGTTATGTAATAGGTATCTATGTTTGATTCCACATTTTTTATATCATTTTTATATCTATAACTACTTGCCTGAAATATCAAGATATTTGTTTATCTCATCTAACCGACTTTATATATTAAACTATTAATAATATTAGCATGTTCTAGCTATACTCATCTCAATTAATAGGATTATTTTTACAGTTGTCTTCAGTTTTTTAGACAATAAACTCAAAAGAGATCTTCTAAAAATCTGTATTATTCTCTTGTTTTCTATATCTACCTATATATATCCTTTCTTTACCCGAACGGCGGACTAAAATGTAACGTTGTGATTTTAACCTATATGTGTGAATATGTATGTAGATTATGTTTCTCTATTAATTGAATATTTTAAAAATACATATCTCATTTAGTCAAATACGGTATCATCAAAAGCGTTTTATTCGTCCACTGTTTAAAGGCTGTGAGGTCAATTTAGATAGGTTAGTTTAAAGTTATTACTACAAATTAATTATTGTATATTAAGTTTGACAGCCTCGGTGGTCTAGGGGTTTAACGCACAGCTTTACTTCCGATGGTCATGGGATTGCTTCCTTGCAAACATTTGCATTTATGACTATGATTTATATTTTCTATGTATATTATATATGTAATTACAGAAAAAATATCTATGTATTTATGTCAGTTGTCCAGTTTCCATAACAAAAACTGTGGGACTAGATGGCGCTGTGTTAATTGTCCAACATTATTTATTAATATTATTATTAAGTCATGTATTATGCTATTACTCAATATAAATAATATAACAACCAATAATATAAGCTATGTACGAGTGAAAGTGGAAATCTGTAAATATTACTACTTGGAAAATAGATAACTGGCTGACATGATAATATACCTATTCGATAAAAAATTAATGTATCGTGAAAGCGAAGAAAGTAAGTTAGGTATTCACGTAAAGAGCACTCTAGTATTCCTAATCGGACTAGAATTCGTATTTATATTCACAACTCGAACAACAAACGAAAAATATTCCATTTTACTTAAAGGATTTACTTGGTGGCAGAATTTTGTATTATTTCGTAGTACAGAAATATATGCATTGTTGTGGTATAGTCTGAAGGGTAAAAAAGTGAATGTAATCTTCATCGACATAATAATCCAAGGACGTCGGATCTAATACAAATTTCACAGAAAATGTACGTCTATATAGAGTAGGTATGTAAGTATGTACGTGCACATTTATGCTACTGTGTGTGGATTTCTAAATGGATACTTTTGATTGCGGACTCAATAACCTTTTGATTATTATATATAACTTATACTGTGAAGACGTAAATTTGCTACAATAATGACATTATTTTCAATAAGACAGTGTAGGTTGTGGTCTCATTAAACCGCATGATGAGGATATTCTTGTTTATATACGATTATAATTACCTCCCACTTTTCTTCAGGTACGCTGCCTGTTATTTTCAGAAACATATTCTAGAGTTACTTTTTATATTCAAAACGTAATTTCTATATATAGGCATAAAATCATTACTCTGCAACTTGATTTTTTTTTACTGAAATGGCAAGGCTCACCAGCGTGCAACCTTCACTTATGTTTACATATACTAGCTGTGCTCGCGACTTTGTCCGCATTGAATAGTAACCTTGGTTAGCATTTTTGACTATTTAAACTAATTATAAAAAGATAAAGAAAAAATTTTCATCGTCAAGTTTTCAAGCTTAAAAAATTACAAACTTCCATACAACGAGAAAGCGAGACCGACAGACTGAGTTACTTTTGCATTTATAATATTAGTAGGGATATATATATTTATAGGTGATAATATGTTATGAACAACACGGGCTGTTGTTTCACCAATGTCTTTTGTGTGCCATTCTGGTGGACCAAAATACCATACCTCTACACGTGTTAATTTCTGAAAATCAGCTTATAAAGCAAATATATACACTTATATATTGAATCATTGCGTTTATTGATTTCCTTCAATTTTTTATTTACGCTCCTCTAATCCACTCCCTACATTCTATGCCATGCTGTGTTGGGTTAATTAGAAGTAATCTCTATTAGAGATAAGCCCGCCTTTGTTAACACTTGTTTCTAATTAATATACTACAATAATGCATTCAAAGTGCAATAAAGAAAAGGTATATTAAAAGTTATCTATATGATAGAAGACTTAATATTGCTTTCTTAGTTTATTTCATGTCTTTTTATTAAAAAAAACTTTTTATTTTAAATAAGGTAATATCCTTCATTGGATTTCCGAATATTATGTTTTCCGTCATACTTGGTAACCAATTCTAAATCATAACGTGAATAGAGCATGCAAGGGATGTTTTTTGAAGACAATTATTAAAAAATAAAGATGAGGGACAATGGAAAGCAATATTCCTTGTAAGATTATTATTTATTAAAACGACGACTTTTCATTAATTAACTTTACTGGGAGCATGACCTGCCATGATCCACCCACCTATTTTTTAATAAGCGGCTTTACAACGAATATGGCCTTTCATGTTTCACACCTACTTTATATAAATATATGATACAGACATCAGTCGATGGTATTTCAGAATCAAAATTATTTAATTATAATTACCATGTCGCATCATTTAAGATAAATAATAATAGAAAACGTAATAGTATTCGAAAATGGAGATATTTTCCTTCAAAATGTTAGCTATTAAATATTTAGGAGTATATTATACAACCGTATGTATAAATCGTATATATCGAATATCTAAGAAGTGTGAAAACCAAAATCAGGTTAAATATTTTTTCTAGTTTAGAAATAGACTAGAAAATGTATTGTATTATTTTACAAATGCTAATGATGGCAATAAAACATAATTTGATTGTTTATCGGGATAGCATTCTATTTATATTACGTATTTGTACTTGCTTGTTAATATATCAAATTAGATATAAAACTATATATTTGATAGCACCTTTAATATATAATCGCAGCTGAATGGTGCATACTAAAAGCAATTGGGCCATGATAATTTAAAAATTTAGCCCATATATAATTGGATATGTACATGCCCCTTAAAGAAGCGCAGTGAAACAATGCGCGCATTTCTGTGGTCATTAAGACTAAGGTCTTAGGTATAGGGGGTGGTAGAGGGGGAGGGGGGGGGGGAGAGAGAAGAAGGAACAATTACAACATAGTAACGCGCATGTGACTACGTTGCTGTTGTAGGCGACATTGTCGGTGGAAGACACTTGCCACAAGGCGAGCCTTATAATTGGCTTCATTATATAATATTATACTATATAATATAAACAAATCTACAAGTTATTTGTATATCACGCTCACAATCCGACTTCGATCATTAGAAAAGTATTTTCTTAAGATTTATTTTCTTAGAGAGTTTTTCTAAGTCACATAATGAAACGTTAAAATAGTTTTATATATAGTGTTAATTTGTAAAATAAATAACTTAGTGTATGAAATTTAATAACCATATTATTTATATAAATAATACAATTAACATATTTTCTGAATACTTATCAGCACACGAAGAACTTTAATTTCACAGACTTAAATGTCAAATGAGAAAGTCTCCTTTTTTCGTTATTCATCGACAGTTCATTCTTCGAAGTGAAACATTGACAGATCCATTGTAACCACGAACAATGGACTTCGAACCACCGAAATTTGTAATAATAAGGTCTTTTTTCACATTGGCCTGTAAACCGTCGCATCGAACGAGTGACATCTCAAGATTATTACTTATAAATTAATAGGACCCAATATAAAATTTAAAAGCATATTTAATATAAGAATACATTTGTGTTGTTATTACGCTGCACTGTATTTTAAATTCAACGAAAATAAATACAAATACTCGATTATTCTTCGAAAATTAAACAAAGATAATAAATTCTCTTGTATATAAATTTTTCATTCTTAGTACCTAATATTTATTGAAGTTTATACTAATAAATAACAAATAAACGGTAATAAAAACTAATAACAGTTTTTTAACTATGAAGAAACCATTCTCTTTCAACTTTATTTGATATAACTTGCTGCAACTTTAATCTTATGCAATATAACTCGGCAAACACTTTGGGAAAACAAATTTAGAATTGCATACATACCGACCGGGAGTTCGGCTGCGTCAGTCCCGCTAATATTATTTGTTGCAACGCGAGAGGGCGCGAGGGAGACAGCGAGAAAAGCTCCTTAACAACTTTTTAAGGGAGCGCGAGAAGTCGGGCGCAGCGCGAGCCGCGGTTACCGGCGATTCATTAAGAACCAGCGTGGAGGCTGCGAGTAGCTCACCCCCTCTCACCCCCTGGACTGCAGCTACCACGCAGGCGCCCGCCGTCTCCAATCATGGCCCTGTTGCTTCTGACGGCGACGTAACGTCAAAACGCAAATGCTATGAATACGCTTAATCGTCGCTGAATCTGCCGACAATCGCGATCATCTGCGTTTAGATTAGGACAACTTCTGCGGACAAGACGGCATCTATTATACTTTTGACGGAACCTCCTCGCTCATAAAATGTTTATTTTAAAAGTTTTCTCATCTTGGGTAGTCGAATGGTTGTAAATTTACAAGTCTGTATTTTTATTTCAAATTATAAGTTAATTAACAAATTAAAAATATATAAGTTAATATAAAGTTTTGTGGCATCTCTATTATACTTAATATCGAATTCGACAATGTCTAAAATTTAAACCGCGATGATTTGATAAAAAATAGATATACTAAATATGAATACAGTAGTCATATTGAATTAGCCAAATTAGGTTCTCGTTTTTTAATAAACACTTTCGATTACAGTTAGAAAGAATTTGTTGGTGTGATTATTTATATACATTACTAATTTAACCCATGTAGCTTTATATCCATAGAACCTCCATCAGGACGTACAAGCAAAGTCTAAATCCCTTAAATACGTTGCTCAGATATTTATGGTAGGGCTAATAGCATGAGTTAAGCCAGGGCTAAGCGTCCTAACGCTGTTAACGATATTTTCAAAAACGAAGGCATAAAATGTTCATTCTAAATACAGCAATACTCCTAGGATTTTAGGAGAAACAATAATACTTTGACCACTCTTATTTCATAATGATAAGCCCCGCTATCTTTTCAGCAAGAAAAATAATCAGATGAACGAATGCCCTTGAGCATTCCAGACTCGTCCTTTGATAAAAGATTTCTTAGATAAAGAAAATGTGTGCAAAGAAAACACAAAAGTACGATACCGCAAAATAAATATTCAAAAGAATTCTTCCCACAAATTATTCCTTTCTATACAAATAATATAATACTTTCTGGAATTATTAATGGAATTTTATGAAGCATAACAATGAATCTACCTACTTAAGAGCGATAAATATTCAAAGTAATTGTCATAACATGTCATAAATGACCTGTCAAAGCAGGCTAAACTAGTGAATCTATGTATGAACAGAGAATGGAGACAGGAAATTCATATAAAAATGGAGGATAATCTTCAAAAGTTGCAAAATGTAAATTAATAAAAATAGCAAATTTGTTACCTATATCTTTATCTAGCTTATTTTGTTGTTACGCCTTCTAAATAGTTAAGCAACATCCGATTGTTTTCAATTTTTACTCTCAGCTAATACCGCTTTTGTTGTGTCTTACTAAATATGAATATTATATAGAAAATGAGATGCTTAGTTCTCAATAGGTTAGTCAACATAAGCTTATATGAATATATTTTACTTATAAATTGTATATTTATAAGTAAAAAATGTATTCTAATTCTTGTGTTAAACTTCACTACTACAGTCAGTTAAGTTAAACACAATACAAAATATCATCTCATTTTGTAAAGAATCACAATACTTTTGCTAATTGGAAAATCAAAATTAATCACTAAGTATAGATATATATAAGTACATCCATGACACATCAAGTCGGTACTCATTATATCGTAAATTCTAATAAACGTATTAAGGTTAAATGATTTTAATTAGCCAAGTTTAATTTATCGTGATCACATGCTTTACTCTACGTAACAAAATTAGCCTTAATTCAGGCTTAACCTTCGTCAAATGTTTACAAATTCAAAGCAAATGGAAGTAACTGTATTCGCACGAATACAAATTACGTGGATTATTAATTATTATTATCGTGGTTGATGTAGATTGTAACTAGGGTTACTACTCTAAGATAGTCAATATTGAGTTATGTTATTTTATGTTCCAAAGATTAAATACATTATGTTACTCTATTTGTATTAATGAAGGTCTTTGTGAACTACAGATACACGATTCTTTTTTACTTACGTAGGAGTCAACTTGTAATTTTCTCAATTTCTTTTGTTATATTTCTCGTATATCTTAGCATAAGGGAAGACATTTTTTATACCATTATACACATATAGATGGATTAATCAGATACTGAAGACGTAGCTGTAACTAACTATATAGGTAGATTATTTACATATAGTTCGTCTTGACAATTCTAATACATATTCTGATATCTATGTATATTAATACAGAACGTAAATGGTTTTGAAACAGTTCGTGCACCATTAGTCGCATCTCTTGAATATCGCCTACATATTACCGCGCACGTATCTAGTATTATATTCTGAGATTGTATTTCAAAAGGAGGTTTGTAATTTCTGTACTAATTAAAATAGTTGGTTATGAGATATTATTATTCGGTTCAATGGTTTGTTATAAGAAAATTTTAATTGAAATGAAAAAAAAAACTGACCGACTTATAAAACTTTATTACATTTTATTATTCTTCCATTAATCTAATCACATTTTTATTAATTATTCATTTACTGCTCCGTGTAAATTTCTATCATAATATTATTGTAATAGAAAAAGATTCTGACTTGCTTAAACTTAAATGCCAGAAACAATATTTGTAGTTTTCAGTAGCAGATTAAGGTTACTTATACTATACTCCTGTGCTGGTCCATAAATCTTATTATTAATATTATAAATGCGAAAGATTGAAAGTATGGATGTTTGTTACTCTGTCACGCAAGAACTACTGAACGGATTTTGATAAAACTTTACAGTAATATATTATTCATTATAGTAACACATAAGCTATATATTGAAAAAAAATTAACGCGGATGAAACAACGGGCACAACTAGTCCTTTACATACAATATAGGCAATCATCTAATACTAAGTCTGAGTACACCACATACATTTTCACAACAGTATCCAAGATAACCGAGTGGAGCCTGAACTGACAGGGTTCTCGGTTGCTAACTATTCCCATCCACACCTTCAGAAACGGTAAAGCTAAACCTAGATAATGAATGTGTGTTTATTGCATAATCAGGATCCAATTAATTTGCAGATGTTTGCTTAAATAAATTACTTGTTTACTACTTTTAGACTTAAAGTGACTGAACCAAACTAAAGACATTAAAAGGGTCAGCCATAAGCACAGGTGTGTGAAATCAAATGTAGACACCTAAATGACTATTGGGTCGAAACCCATTTGCTTAATCCTCTGAACATTTCTACCTTTATGCGAAAGTACGTACCTATATGTTGAGTCGATAACATTTCTAATAGCCTCTTCTATACTTTAAGTAAATTATTTTGCCCAAAGTCTGGAAAAGAATCTAACACAAATACCCACGAATAAAGCAAATTCACATAAAAAGAAATGAAGCCTCTTATTCTCCACATTTGAAATAGCACATGTATGGCAAATATCAAATAAATGAATTGGAAAAGAAACATTTACACAATTTCAACAAATTTTAAACAATATTGTCCATTCTCGTGATCAATTTACCCTCACGTCAAATTTCATTAAGAATCGTTCAGTCCATTAGTTGCCTTTTCACAACTAAAGGGCTTAACGTATCGAATAAACAAACACGCATTCGTATTTACTTTACCTTTACATATAGACATAGGTCTGTCTATTTATGCATTATATAAGTCTCGTATATTGAACAGTATGTGCTATATTTATCATAGTGTAACTCCGGTAAGTCAATCTAGAAACAAGTTGCGGTAATTTGTACTTTGACTCCGGTTGTAGCTCGCATCAGCAGTTAAACACTAAAGTCGTTGAGAAATTAATTCTGTAACGTCATTGTGAGAGGTTCACGGTAAATACAAACTTGAATTGGATAATGTTAACTCTATAACTACCTACAGGTATGGTTATAGTATGTTTATAAAAGAGTAGCGAATAGTTTTATGATTATAGCAAATATCTCATATGGATTCAAAAAAATTCCGTAATAGTGTCTAATTTATTTATATTTCTTACAACAAAAGTTTTATGTCACAATTAAGTCTACAAGCAACAACAACATAATTTTTAATGGTACACAACTGTAATAGTTCTACAGTACGGCGTAGTACGGGATTGTTCGTGGAGAATACATATTAGACATCTACATACATGGCAGCTCGTTAAAACATGTTAAAGGCAAGTCAAAAAGCTCAGATATCATTGTGTAAAGGGATGTGAAAGAGGACATTGAAAAGGGACCAATAAAATATGCAGATTTGACTGCGGCCGTATTTTTCTCGGTGTAATCTGCATTATTCAAGCTTTGTCACGAACTTCGACAGTTTAACAGCGTTTATCTCTCGCCTTGCAAATTGAGCTACGACTTTAAGACAAACGGCAGTCACTTTCATTACCATAATGGACCTCGGCCGATTCTTTGTTGGTGAGCCAAGGATTCAGGTTGACGTTTTACTAGTTCCTTTTTTTCTCATTTTCCTTAGTTCGTCCTCAGTGTGCATTCTTGTTATTTGATTTCTCCTTTACTTTACATTATTATGACGTGACTGGTGTCTGAATTAGTTGAATCAGAATTGTAAGCGTACGTAAAGCAGACTTGTATAGACCACCAAAAAATAAAGTGGGCTTGACTGTGATAAAATTTTTGTTATCATTAAATAGTTTTATATTTTTTATCAATTTAAATTTATTTGAGGCATTATACTGGTTTTACTTTTAACTGTATATACTCTACAAAATATAGGCAAGTTAAATGTTATGTACAAATATACCATGTCATTTGTGAAGTCATCTGAAGTTTTGTCTATGTATAGTATCTACTAAAATTGAACTCACATGAAACTGATCTGGAATCTTGTACCAAAGGCCTATATTTTAAGCCATATATTACAGTATGTAACGATATATCCTGAAAATAAATGGCAATTTTCTTTACAAGTTTCCTATTGGAACGGACAAGAGCGCCGGTGTCTACTAGA